GGTTGTGGAGTCTCCTTCTCTGGAGATATTCAAAGCCCGCCTGGACGAAGTCCTGTGTAGAATGCTCTAGGAGAGCCTGCTTTAGCAGGGGGGTTGGACTAGATGATCTCCTGAGGTCCCTTCCAACCCTTGCGATTCTGTGATTTGACACTGTTAAAATGTAACTATCCTTCTGTTTAAATTTGTTCTTGAGATTTAACATACTCAGATAATACCAATACATAACCCCTAGCATCAAAACAGAAAGATACAAAAAGATAAAGCAAACTAAAAACATGAGGCTCCTCAAGATTTTGAAAGCTCCAGGCCATCCTCGAAAATATTAGTGAATTAAGCTTAAGCAATTCTTCACCTCCATTTTACTGACTGGGGAGGGGGAAGACATCCAGATGGTATTCAGTCATGGCCATAAAACGTGTGCTGCCAGAGGCAACCACCAAATCCTTAGCATTTCTCTCCTCAAGCTGTGTTTCTGAGACTGAAAAACAAGGTTCCCTCAGTCCCTCTCTGAAGGGGAGGTCCAAAATACATAGTACCTCTTACTCATGTTCCCGTTAAAGGGGAAAAAACTAGCAGGTTTTATGGAAACTGTCTGGTATCATGTTTTCATTTTAAGAAGATAATCTGCATGAAACAGTGCTGCCAATATAAACCCCTCCCTTCCTCATAGGAAACAATGGTAATGCCTTCATTATGATGTGTAGTGCATGGCTTGCTCTAGGGCTCCTATTCCATAGAGATTTATGTCTGTGTTAGCAGCTGCTCCCCCACAGTCTGTGTTCTTTCACAGACCTGAATATTATGAACGCCAAGGAGATCCGTACCAGTCATCTACCAGAACGAGCTCCCCATCCGACAGGACTTTCTTGGAGGCAAAGAGAAGCAGCTGCAGCGGGCTCACCAAGGTCATTGCTTTGGCAGAGATGGCTCGTGTTCGAATCTGCAGGTGGAAGAGGAACACAACTCTTGAAATGGAAAACAGATCTCTACACCTTCCTCTGGCCACTGAAACCAGAGAATTTTGTAAAAGCAACACAAAAACATCCAGGTACAGTGTTAGGAAATTACAAGAGCACACACGCATACAAAATTGAATGCTAGGCAGATGTTTACAGGGATTCAGCACTGGCTGGTGTAAAAAAAAAATAATAACAAAACAACCAAAACTACCTGCCATTTAAAAGTATTCATTTTCCCTATGACTGCATGTGTGCAATTATGCAGCTGACATTTTACAAGAGACATCTCATGCTTTGCCAACCTAAAAATGACCAAGGCATAGCTGGATTATCTTCCCACCTTTTGCCTTGCTGGGGCTGTGATGAAAAGCTCATTGGTTCTTTAGTAGGGTCCTACACATGCAAATTTGGAAGCTGCCACACATCCATGCAACCAGCCCGCTTTGTCATTTTATAGAAACATGACTTTTAAGCTTGTACTTGAAGTGAGCACTCAAACAGTAACAAGCCATCTGACCTGAGCCAGAGATAACAGTGCTGACTACATGGGCTACTGCCCTTCACTTTAAAGAGGAACTGAAGAGCGATACTTAGGATTTCAGCCTCCCACCCTGACAGCTGCCTCTCACCCCCCCTTTCTTTCACACAGGAGCATGATGGAGCATGATGGGCAGAATGTGTTGGACTTGCTTGTCCTCAGGGAGATTTGCTTCTGCCTTGAAGATATCACGCATACTCAAGGGAGAGAAGCTGCCAGACGCTGGAAATCGTGGCAGAAAAACAGCCACAATGAGAAGTCAGAGACAGACTGCCAAGTGCAGCAGGAAACAGACAACCAGAACTCAGAGAGAACCTTTCTTTTAGCAATTATAAATGCACACAAATCCTTCCTTCACCCCAGTCTCACTCAGCTGCTGTCTTAGCTACTCTTAAGCCACCATCTTGGTCACTCTTAGTTTCCCACATGTATTTTGATTTAACAAAGCACAGTTTTTTGAGTTCAAAAGTCTCTGGGTGTTTTTAGGGGAGCTCACTTTACAGAGGTGGTCAAGGCAGATCAAAGATCTGATCCTGGAGCACATGAGAGCACACAGGGGTTTAAGTGTACATGTACAGTATGTGCTGAGTACACAAAGTTAATGGGATGGAGAAAAAGGTCATGGGGACCCTGGGGAAAGCATCTCAGGGTTTTTATGAGGTGCCTGGGAAATGGAAGTTGTCCTTAGGAGATTACAAACTGCCTATGTGCCAGAAAGCACCTCACTGCCATATTACATGTTCCTCTTTTCTCTCTGGATTCATAAGTAGCAGAAGTGATAAGGGTAAAAATTCTCTAGTGCCTAATTAGTACAGAAGAGCTCCTAAAGAGGATAATAATTTAGATCTTTCTCTATGACTTGGCTGTTTTCACAAAGCTCACAGGAACTTTCTATGCAGCTCTACTTCTACAGAATTTGGTTGACTGGAAGTTACTGGAAGGCTGAGTGCCACCATGACCACTTAAGGTTCACTTTCTGGAAAAAAAAACCAAACCCAAAGACCCCCAAAAAACAAGCTGAATTTTGCACAGTGTAGTTTTTTTTTTCTTACGGCTTCTTTACGAAAAAGAGCCTCTTGGACAACTTGGCAGCATGTGAAAAAGAACAAATTCAAAGTCTTTACCTTTTCTCCAAAAACGAAAAAAGGCGAAGGATACTTGATGTCCTGGCTGCTGAAAGGGCAGTTGACAGATGACTTGTGGATGAGTGCATTGTGCCCCTCAGTGGTAAGAATCTTCCTCTTCTCCTTGTGGTAGCAGACATTGGGGTAGACCCCAAAAGCAAGCAGGGAGATTACAACATCCAGATTATTATCTGGTCCAGTGTTGTTAAACGGTTGAGTCATCAAACATTCTGTTGACAGAGAACAGAAGACTGGCTTGCATCCACAGGTCATGTAGGACAGCACAGCAGAGTTGTTTAGGATCCTGGATCAATGCATTTTCTGATTCAATCAACTGTTAGATGTGCATCTGTTCTCAAATGACCTCTGCACTCAAAGCATTTCAGTTCTACATTCAATTTTCAATTTATTCATGGAGAGCAAAAAGCTGAAAAATACTACTGCAAAGAGGTATTTGTCTCTCCCAAGCTCTTAAAAAACAAGGAGAGAAGGGTTTGCCCAGAATGTGCTGTACTATAGTGTTTCCTGTCATTTGTTTTGGAGACAGATCTTTTGGGGGAGGTTAGAATGGATGTTTTCATTAGTTTACTTGCTACAAACCTCCCCAGAGTCTCTGGTGGCTTGTTTTCAGGTCATCTTGCCCAGAAATCAAGTTAAGGATAAATGCAGCAATGATTGTAGCAGCATGAAGGGAAAAAAATTAAAGGAATTTAAAAAAAAAAAAAAAAAAGAGGGGGGAGATGAACATCTGCTGAATCCAGCCTGCCATGCCATTTAACTGAGCAAGCTCCTCAGGAACACTAGGCAAATTCAGAACTTGGTCAGCTTTAAGATTTTAATTTTTTTTTTCTGTAGAAAATTGAATAATATGCCACACTACTGCACATCCCTCCTGTGGCACAAACCCAGAAATCATAGGGCACGTAGCACACTGTTTAGATCACACAGACTCCCTAAGGCTAATGAAAAGGAGGGGGGAGGCACAGCACATTTTGGAGACGCAACAAGTGAAGACAACAGAAAATCAGGGAGGTAATGCTCTAAGGACAATTGCTTAATAGGTTTTTAATCCTGCAGCCCTAACCTCAGAGTCCAAAATCTCCCTGTGTTGCACCATGGCTATCACAACTTCTCTGGTTTAGACAACTGTGAGAGAATGAGATAGCACTAAAATTTCATCCGAGCTGTAAAAGCAGGACAGCTTTATGACAAACCCACTATAAGCCTCTGTGCTTCTGTATTCATCGTAGATTATCTTGTTTATTTATTTCTCATCTCAGAATGAAAAAATGCAATCATTAAATTACTACATCGAAGTAGAATCACCTTCAGGGAAGCCAGAATTAATAAGTATGTCTTTCAGCTGGACTTTTGCTTCCCAAGTCATTCTAAGAGTAGCCATGCTGAGCCTTTTGTGTTCACAAAATCTTTTTTCTGCTTCTTCACCACCCATTCTAAAAAACAAACAGTGAATTAGAAGTTTGTGCAAAAAGAGGAAAAGTGTAACAGTCTAGCTGTCATAGCATCCATTGACATATCCAGTTTGGTCATAAAACTGCTCGCTCTATGTTACCCACAACCTCTCATCAAATTCTGTGGCAAGACAACATACCTTGCATCATCCCAGGCTTGAAAGACAGAAAGCAAAGCAACATGATCTGAAAACCTGTTCCCAGCAAAATTCCTGTGGACATAACCCAGGCGTTTGCCTTCACTGATGAAAGGTTCAGGGAAACAGGTGGCTGCAGAGATGGTACAAACAGCATCTCCCACACTGAAAGAAACCACAAAAGGTATCAGGACTGGGTTTATTCACAGTATTGCTGCCAGCAGCTACTACAGGCTGTTGACATGAGTAAAAACTTATGGCTTGAGGTTAGAAACCTTAGTAATTTGGCCCTTGTATACCAGACTTCATAGAAACACTTCCCAGGAAGTGGATGTTAAATCAGCTCCAATTCCAGCAGCTAACCTTTCACAACAGCAAGTGTTCACAAGTCCTTTCTCTATCTTCCCTCCCCTTCCCCCATCCATACACCGTTCTTTTCACAACCTTCTTCTGGTGGTGAAGAAGGAAAGGGCCCTACAGCCATCACAATTACAAACAACAGTTCTTTTTTTCTGTCGAAGCAAAATACGTGGATTAATTTTTTCTTCCTATCTAGGTCTCAAAATTTCACATCTCTCCACCTCTAGCTCACTCCTATACTTAAGCATGTAGAGTCCCACTCTTAATTCGTAAATATTCAGCCTACAATGGTCCCTTTTAGTTACTCCGAGTTTCATGATTACTTTATTCCCTTTACTAGAAGTTATTTATCCTATGCTCTCATGAATATTCAGTTTCCTATCCTCAGCTGCAGCATTTATTGCTCATGTAGATGTATTGTGCACATCTAGAGGCTCAGGAACTCAGAGAAACAAGAAAAAAGACCACTGAGACTACTAAACTTACTAAAAAATACAGCCCATTATCATCATCTTGCCAAGACGAGGTTCAATGGGAAGTTTGGCTAGGATCCTTCCAAGAGGTGTCAACTCATCATTGGAATCCAGGGCATCAAGCTCTGAAACAAGATCTCTTATTATCAAAGAAGGTTAGCTAATCCAAGGAATCCTTAGATAAGAATTTAGAATCTTAATAATGGTGTTTAAATAGAACCCCACCTACATTTAAGTTTAATGTTGTTTACAATATTGCCAACCCGATTTTCAAAACTGGTCTGAGGTCAAATAAAGCAATTTTGCTTTAGCTTTAGAGATGTTTTACTACCTCTTCCACAATTAAAATAATTACTATTTAATTCACAAACATGTTTTTCCATTTCTTGTGAATTAAATAGTAATTATTTTAATTAGGGGCAATGGATGCAAACTGAAACATGAGAGGTTTCAGTTGAATATGAGGAAGAACTTCTTCACTCTGAGGGTGGCAGAGCACTGGAACAGGCTGCCCAGGGAGGTTGTGGAGTCTCCTTCTCTGGAGATATTCAAAGCCCGCCTGGATGAAGTCCTGTGTAGCATGCTCTAGGTGAGCCTGCTTTAGCAGGGGGGTTGGACTAGATGATCTCCTGAGGTCCCTTCCAACCCTTACGATTCTGTGATTCTGTGATTCTTTTTAGTTTGCTTCTGTACAAACCATGATTACACTATTAAAACTTTTTTCAAGTCCCTGTATTTGATCTAACTAATCTAGCCTAATTTCTGCCTCATGAAAATCAAAGCAGCCCCATCACAGCCACCTGTAGAGTCTTCATTGCAATTACCAAATCACAGAACCCTCTGTTCATGAAAAAGACATCACCACAAACTCTGTCTTCCATGAGGCTTTGCCCGTCTTCCTCTCCTTCTGTTACCTAAAAATTATCACCTGAGCTCATCCTCAAAGCTATCAAACCACTGTCAATAATGAAGTCAAACACGTGTCTGTGGCTGTTTGCTGTACAGAGTGAAGGGTCTCATGAGTCTCCTTATCTTTCTAGCCGTTTGGCCATAACCATTAAACTAGTTTATAAAACTAGAAGCTTTACATGTAAAAAAAAAAAAAAAAAAGCTTTGTAGCCTCAGCAATTAAATTGGAAAGCGAACAAATAAAGGACTCCTTAGCCACAATCAAATCCATTTTTCTTGGTATCTACTGAACTCAAAAGCCTAAAGAATATTGTGAAGAACAGCATGTCTCACCATCCTAAACACATACTAGTAGCACACATGCACTGAAAAATCACAGGTCAGCCAGGAAACAGAGGTACATGCAGAAATGTCTATTTGGTGTTAAAGCTGAAAACATTTGCCTCTTCTTTGCATTTCTTACCTGCAGTGTAAGAAAAGCACTAACAATTTTTTAATCAGAAAGTCATTAAACTTGAATACATATCATAGAATCATAGAATCATAGAATGTTTTGGGTTGGAAGGGACCCCTAGAGGTCATCTAGTCCAACCCCCCTGCAGGAGCAGGGACACCACTAACTAGATCAGGCTGCTCAGAGCCTAACTATGTTCTTCATTCTGGTCTCCCTTCTGTATACAAGCAATATAGGCTTGTGACACAATTTTTTCATACAATCAACAATCAAATAGGTATTTCAGTTCTTATAAATCTTAAGAAATGCTTATTTAATGACATTTGCAAAGCATGCTGAGGTTCAAGATCACTGCTTTAAATCCAAAGCATAAATTTAGGGTTCCTCCCTGCTTCATTTTACTCATATTCTAGCTAGTTCCTTGAAGAAACTGGGGATATATCTTAATCCCCACCTCTGTTTCTCCTGTTTTAGGAAGATACTGATGCTTGCATATTCATAAACTGGAGATTTAATTACTTGACAAAATACTGAGATCTTGGGTCAGCGAACTGTACAAAGCAGTAATTATACAATAAACTACTAACCTCGCTTTTTCAGTACTTTTATAGTAGTTTTGTAAATGCCTTAAGCACTGGACTGAGTCTATGTCATACACAGCAGTGCCACAGCTGGAAAACAGGAAGCTGGAAGCGAGCATAAGTTACCGGTAAAATAACAAAACAAGCCTTAAGTTTAAAGGCTAAAGTTTCTTAAAAGAATGACGCTCCACTCGGGAATTCAAGTATTTCTTCAGCTGCAAAAGACACCCACACGATGCATCCAGGAAACACCTTGCTGTTTCAGACAGCATGCTACTACATAAACAATCTAACCAGAGATGTTAAAGCAGTTTGTAAGTGATCATTATACATGAGAAATCACTTGGAGTCAGCTTCATTAACATACAATCTTGTGGACAAACAACAATACCTCTTAGTGTGCGTTCTGCTTCAATCACTGCATCCAAAGGTGGTGGTTCTATTGCTTTGGCCAAAAATTGACCAATTCCTCCCAGTCGCAGCAATTTGATGCTCAAAGCAATTTCATGAAGTGGTGTTCGAAACATTTCAGGTGTCATATGAGTTTGAAGTCTGGAATAAGAAGAGGACAAAAAAGCCCACATTAAAAAGCCCACATTTTTCTGAACATAGGCTTTGATCACCATCAATGGGTCATTCCATCAGCATAAACTACCGCTCTCCAAGGCAAATACTGCCTCCCAGCCAACCCATCAACTCTCATTGCACTCCTGTAACCTAGGTTCTTCTACCAGCATCTATCTTCTGTGTTTCTCAATTTTCATCTCAGGGTAAATTTACAATGGAAAAGCACAGAGTGCATAGCCCTCACACCACCATTAGCTGGTGTGGTTTCTAGCAGAAGCTGACCACATATAAAGTCTGCATGGCTGAAGCCCGATTCGCAGCATGGCTGTGTCCGGCCCCACACTTGCCCCTTCGACAATCATCTCCTACATTGCTAAGGGAGGTCTTCCACTCCTGGGATAGAGAACCTGCTTTCAGCCTGCCTTACATAAAAGCACTTCTCTACTTGTCCTTCTACCAACTCCAAACCACCCAACTCCTCCTGCACATTTCTGCTTTGATCACTAAGAGTAAGTATTTTTTGCTGGATGCTTTCCAAAGGTGTTTTTCTGGTAGGAAAAAGACCTGTTGGAAACAGAGCTCTTCAGTCTTTAGCACAGTGTCATTAGTGATACTTCAGCTTGCTGGTTGAAATATGAACTCCTAGGAATGACTGCACTGAGTGAGAGACAGCTAGAAAAGGTTTCAAAACACCTTGAACAGATACCCAGATTCAGCTGGCACCACATTTAGATGCCGTCTCTTAAAAGATTCTTTTTTGGTTTTATATTCTTTGAAGGAAGGTAACTTTAAAGTCATGAAGTCGCATGATTACTTCAGTAGCCTAAAAACAGTTACTGTCAAAATTTCTTAATTCACTCCACTGTACTAGGCAGCAGATCTAAATAAATTTGAGCAATTTAAGGAAAGTTTTTGATCCACTGATGCTTTCAGAGGTTACAAAAAAGCTGAAAAAACACAGCTATGCTCTAAGCACTATGTGAGAAAGGGGTACTGAAACTTTCATGAGAGAGATCAAACACTGAGTGAAACAGCTGTGTAGACTTCTGCAACCAGCAAAAAGATTTCCATGGCTCTGGTAACTGAGAAACAGCTTGGCAGATAGAAGAGGTCAAAAGTTTCAGCAGCAGGGAAGGTGCTAGAGCAGCAGTTCAGCAGCACGAAGGGGCTTCCTGGCCACAGAATGGGGATGGAGGGAAAAATACCATCTGTCTTCCCTGCTTTTTACCACTTTCATGACAAAATTGCCTGTTCTGTGAAGATACCGGGGGCCCACAATGTTTGAAGGCAGACTAGAACCTTATCCTCATTCCAAAGCTCTGTTCTGCCTTGCCTCAATTCCCAAGGAATATTATTTTTCTCCTGAGAGGTTCTGTAGCTTGCAGTGAAGTTCTTAATAGTAAAATCATGAACTATTTATCTACCTCATACTATGGGTAAAAGCCTATAAACATATGTAATTTTTTTTAAGCAAAAGAAGTGAGATCTCCAGGAATTCCAGTGTGAACTGACTTCATGCATCTCCTCTCTGTGCTTTCTGAAATTATTTCCCCAGAAGCAGCATACAGATTTGATCAGAAGTATCATACAACAGTTCTGGGAGAAGTCTCTGAGGTTATTTTATTTCTAAAGAGCACAGCCTCACCTTTCAAAGCGAGCTCTACTGCACAAATGGAAACAAAATCCGGCACGCACACGTCCAGCTCTTCCTTTCCGCTGCTCCAAATTAGTTTTTGATGCCCAGACTGTGGCATAGTTTGTCATGTTATTATGAGCAGTGAACAGCTTCACTTTTTGTCTGTCACAGAAAAAAACCAGCCAAAACCAACCTTAAGATCAGATGTTCTTCATCTTAAGTCCTGCCAAATTACTTCTTACTGTACTCCTTGCAGCCATGCCACTTTTAAGAAGCAAACCACCCCTCTTTGACTAGCTAAGCTTTGGCTAGTTAGCCATCCATCTGGAAGCTAACATATCATACTCTTTATAAAGCAGTGCTCCAAGCTATACACAGAATGAAGTTTTCACAACTGCCTCAAAAGCTTAAAATTCTCATGCAATTAATAAGATCTCTATGTGTAATTTGCTCAGAGAACATGCACAGCAAGACAGGATCTGTATCAGACTACAAAAATCTTCCTATTTTCCACCAGCTATACACTGAGTGTTTGTAATATTCATTTGGCAGACGACGTATTTCAAATACGCATGGAGACCCAGTGACACCTCACATGAATAGTGCCAGCGTGAATGCAGCTGACCAAAACCAGCCCACTGAAATGCCAGCGTGGTTTGTAACTGTGTTGAACAGCTAAAGACAATGCAAATTTGTCTTGAGCAAGTTAGGAGTCCTCATACTCAGCTCTGTGACTATGGGAACACAAGGCTGTTCTGTGTGTTCAGAAAACCTTTTTTGCATTCCAAAGAATAGGATT